CATGTGAGCCCTTCAGAATCCACTTCTGTTATTCATAGACTAACTTAAGTTTATTTAAAATGAAGCCATTCATATTTTCACCTTCACACTGAATAAATCATTTTGATCTTTTATAACTTCATTACACCAATTCATTTTTCGTGTGTGTGTGTGTGTGTGTGTGTGTGGTGGATTTTTAACCAGTGGAAACTTTCATTGTTGACGTTTGCGACTGCTGGTCCACACTTTGGCCTCGGCTGACATAAATAAACACAGACAAACAGCTTTGGGAGAATTATTTTTAATTCAACACTACAGCAGTGACAGCATCTGTGACCTTAAGCGCTGGAAATGTTGAGCGACACCCGTGTGGTCCGGAAACATTAGTGGGATGTTTAAAAACGGAATAGCCAAGCACTGAAGGCAGTTACTGAACACAATTACAAAAGTAATCTAGTAAATTATGACGAGCAGTAACAGCGCTTCTTATAGAAAACAGGTTTGACTACCAGCTGACAGTGAGGACAATAGGAATGCTGCCAGGAATGTGAAAGTACTGATGGTTGGAGCCACAGATGTTGAAGCCCATCCATCACGAGGACACGTTGCTGTATGACGAGCTTTTCATCTATCAGCGTAACACTTTACAGTATTCAGTGATGCTGTTAACTGTGCACCTTACAAGACTCTGAAAACATGTATAACAGCAAACAGCAGAACCCATCTGGAGGGAGGGATACTAAAAGGTGCACATAGGGGAGGAGCATCAGCACTACAGGCTATGACCGCACTGCACTCGTCTCTGATATTAATACAGGGTTAACACAGCTCAAGTGGGAACTGAAAGTTGGGTTTTCCATGGTTGTGCCTGTAGCTGCAAGTTTGTTGTGATTTAGAGAAAAAAAACCAAGAAGGGAAAATGAAGAATGAAGTGCAGTTCTTAGTTTGCGAAGGTCTGAGTCACAGCTTCAGCAATATACTTAGCACTGATGCCAAAGATGTCCAGAAGCTCTTGAGGCTTTCCGCTGCGGGGAACACCGGTCACTGCCAGACGCGTCACAACAATACCAGGCTCACCTCCCACTGCTGACAGCACCGCCTCACCAAGACCACCTGGACAAAGATGGACCGTCAGGAGGAATGAATGCATAAAGGTGATGTTGGCATTTCTTTTAAATGACAACACAGCCAAAGGAAAAGAGCAAATAATGATATGATGATGCTGCTTTATTCAAGTTGTTTTTTAAAACCAAACCCATCTAACGTCTAGGAGCCATAGTTGTTGCCTCCATAAGAAGATCCCTGCCTGCTTTCTGTATGCACAGACTCATGAACTCAGCCTACCCTCCTTGTAGTGGTCCTCCACAGTGATGATCTGTCCCCTTGTTGCTCGGGCACTGGCCAGAATGGTAGCAGCATCCAGGGGCTTGATGGTGAACGGGTCAATCACACGGATGTTCTTTCCTATAAGAATGCATAAGGAAATTAATTTACAGGTTTATAGAGGCTACAGTGGTTCACTGGCCAGTTGAGGAGGCCCTGCATTAAGCCCTGTGTGTCCTCATAACAATAGCAGCAGGTGTCAACTAGAGGGCAGTGTGGGTCACCTTTAGCAGCCAGCGTATCAGCAGCAGCAAGGGCCTCGTGCAGAGTAACGCCAGCTCCAATGACGGTCACCTGGTCATCATCAGACTGGCGAACCACCTGACCACAGAGATATTATAGATGTATAAACATTTTTGGGGGTGGGCATTTTGGTATGAAGACTGACTGCATTAGATTTATAGCGATTAAAAAAGTTACCTTGGCTACGCCCACTTCAAACTTCTCATCTGGGGAGTAGATGACTGCAGTGGCTGGTCTGCTTGTACGGATGAAACATATACCCTGGAAATGGAAAGTGCATTACAATATATTA